AGCCACATTATTATTATTAATATTATTAATATTATTATTAGGAAAGGCGTTGTAAAAGTGTATATCATCTCCATAGCGTGATCGCTTCTGTCTTGACCCACCAAACTCCATACTCTTATAGGTATGAAAAGTATCCATTGTATTTGTATTGATATTTATATTTGTTGGATCCATTGTAAATGTGGAAGCTGTTGTAGTATACATGGTCATTCCAACTCCACGATTATTATTATTATTATTATTAATATTAGTATTAGTAATAGTATTCACATTGGTAGGATAACGACTATCACTTGTCATCATTCTATTTATATTCTGTGTGTTGGCCCGAGTTCCCCCGTCTCCTATATTAACAGGAACCCGTAAGAGTGGCAGGATGAGTTGAGTGGCAAATGGTACGATTGCCATCACGTAATTTCCAATAGAACGCATACGGGGAATATACGCCGCTCCTCCATCATCTGTGGACTCCATTACTGTATTTGTATTTCCCCATACTTCTTCTCCATTCTCATCTGCAGCTCCTCTTCTTCTTTCTCCTCCCATTGTTGTTGTTGTTGGTATTGTTGTTGGTATGGATGAAGATGATGAAGAAGTATTGTAGTATGTACGTTGTGTACCTGTTTCCACACGTTGACGTAATGGTGGTGGGAGATAAACATCATCATGTCTATCACCTCCTCCAACCATTCTGTGATGATTATTGATATTGTTATTATTAGTATTATCATTATTGCTTCCAAAGGCCATCTGTAGAAGTGAAGATGCCACTCTCGTAATAGATGAAAAGAATGGTATACCACTACCATTATTATTATTATTATTATTATTATTATTATCATTATTACTATCCCCACCACCACCAATACCACTACCCAAACTTCTTCTTTCATATCGATTACTGTAGTATTGTTGTTGTAATGTGTTGGATCGACCAAGAGCATCCATTTCAAATCCCACAGAAGCCGCATCTGAATGTGTGTTACCCGCTGTATTCATCATATTAGATGTACTAGTGTAGAGAGAAGGCATTGTTCGTGTGGTATCAAACCATCGTGCCCCTTCACTCCCACCACTAATACTATTATTAGTATTAGTATTATTATTAGTAGTATTACTACTAGTATTAATAATACCACTATTCATAATAGGATGACTATTCTTCTTTTCCATGCTGTATTCTCCCGCATCCTCACCACTACTGTGTGTATTCCACACACCAATCTGTGTAGAGAGAACAGAAGTTGGTTTAATAAGAAGTGCCTCACCCCGCTCTACAGCCGCTGCAGCCGCACGCCAATCAATCTTCACACCACCATCTATTGGTGAGAAGAGAAGTTGCCAAAGACGTTCATGCTGTGGAGGTAATAGAGTTGATTGATTGTTAATATGAATTGCAGTAGTGGATGATGATGATGATGAGGATGATGAAGGGGAAGATGAATAGAGAGAGAATCCCTTTTCTGTTCCTGTTTGATATGAGAGGCCTTGAAATCGTGTTGCACTTTCCACTACAAATCGACTCTGATATACCTGTGCGGTGTTATCCAGCCGCTGGGCCAATACCGCACTATCCGGTGTGTAAAAGGCCACACAAAGTACCACACATCCACCATTATTATTATTATTATTACTATTAATATTATTATTATTATTATGAAAGGATGGACTTCCTACTCCAGCACTCATCGTATTCGTATAATTTCCTCCTGTATAGAGATTACTACTCTTCCAAGTGTGATCGGCAAGACGAAAGGCACCGGCAATAGCCCCACATTGAGTTTTAAGTAATTGTAAAAGTGCACTACATTCCTCTACTGTCTGAAGACCAAAAATAAAAACAGATCGACGCATCAAATCTGTACGAAATCCCGGTTGTTCATATAATGGAAGAGAAGCCGCAGGGGTGGGAACATTTCCTTTAGATACAATAGGTATTCCTACCGTAGTAGTAGTAGTTGTTGCTGTTGCTGGGGTGGAGATGACTTGTTGAGATCCCTCTGCCGCTAATGGGATTATGGAAAGACGTCCTTGTGTATTTAATCTACGGCGTGATTCCAATCCCCATATTTGTTTCTCTCCTTCTTGTTGTTGTTGTGATGGATCCTGTTGTTGTTGTTTCTGTTGTTGTTGAGTAAAGATATCGTCTTTACGCCGCCGCAAGACTGAGAACCCCATACTTGTTGGAAGTGCCATCTCCGCAGCGGCAGTGCGGGGGAACTGCAGCCCTAATGAACCCCCGCCACTTCTGCGGGCGAGCGGCGGAGAAGTCTGCGGAGTTGTTGGCGTCGAACTGCGCCAGTGGGCTGCGGAGGAGGAGGGATTGGCGGTGCGGGCAGTGAGGGCCACATCCGGAGACTTTCTCATCTTTTTTTTTTTTTTTTCTCTCTTTCTCTAATTATATATATATATATATATATTATTTATATATAAATATAGGTGTGGTTGTGATAAAATGGTTGAATGTGTTTGTGTGTGTGTGTGTGTGTGTGTGTGTTTTTCTGGTATTCACACAACCCTCTCTAATTATACATATAGTGTATACATATATATATAGAGAGAGAGAAAGAGAGTGTGTGTGTGTATATGATGAACACCCCCAGTTAATGTTGTTAGTGGGTATAGTCATAAAGAAATTAAAAAAAAAGGGGAAAGAGAGAGAATAGTAGAATATTGTCTATACATTGCCAGAGAGAAAAATAATAATAAATAAAATAAAAATAAAAGAATAATTAAAAAAAGGTTTTCAAAAAAAAAAAAAAAAAAAAAGGGAAACGAAACCTACATATGATATATATATACCTATATATATATATAGGTATATAAATACAATAAATATAAATATAAATACAATAAAAAAAAACAAAAACAAATAAAATAAAATAAATACACCTCTACATGCACGTTCATCTTTTCTTTTCTAGACACACATACAAACTTAGACATTGACAGTCAAATGAGAAGAGAAATAAATATAATCACCAACACTACCCTATACATATATATATATATATATATATATATATATATATATATATATATATATATATATATATATATATATATATATATGCATTGTTTGCGTATGTATGTGAGTATCTAGAATCATCATCACCCGTCTTCACTTACTTTAGTTGTAGTGAAGAGAAGTGTGAGAAAAATATTGCATATTGATATATCTCACTTTGCTCTTTTTTCTTATTTTCTTTTTGTTTTTTTTTTTTTTTTCCTTTTGCGTGCCTCTTTACCTTCTTT